TAATTATATTGTATATTATTTATTAATTTTATTTTTAATTTATATTTTTTTTATTACTATATTTATTTATATATTCATTTATATATTTATATATTTATTTTTTTCTTGATTTACTTATTATTCTAATTATTTTTATTATTATTCTAATTGTTTATTTTTTTACTTTTCATTTACTAATTAATTTATTNTTCTAGCTTTTATTTAATAATTTACTTATTCTTTTAAATATTTATGGTTATTTTTTTATTTATAAATTTATTCTTTTATATTATAATTTATTTATTTATTCATTTAATTATTTATTTTTTTTATCAATTTATTAATAATTTTCTTTTTTATTTATTTATTTATAAATATATTTCTTCGAAAGACAAAGGATAAGAATTAAAGACTATTGCCATCTTTTGAATATCGAAAACATTTGTTAGAAATATTCAGCAAATAACGCTAATATCTAATTCTATCTTATGATATTTCTCAAAAGATACTTTTAATATTCAAGAGATGGCATGAATGATTAATTCTTAACTATCTCTATCTTTCTTATATTATATATTTTCCTTGTCTATGTATGTTTCATCTACGGCACTCTAGAGATGGCGTTGATTTCACAATTTTTAACTATCCATCCATCTTTTTCTCATTATTTACTTTCCTTGTTCTTATGAATTCACATGGACTGAAAATATCGTAGTGATTTTTTTATGAAGTTTATTGCGTCCATATCCAACTTATTAATTAAAAATGTCAATAAAATCTATTTCATTTAATTTTTATATATTCCAGGTATATATATTTTATATAAATAAATTTTTGTATTAATATATAATTTTGTATTTCTATCACATATAATATTTTATATTTCATGGGAATAACAAACATAGGAAAATAGAATAAAAATGCTAGACTAAAAATTTTTACAGGTAGGTTCTTGATACAATTATCTCTTTGTTTGATAAAACACAATTGACATCACTTTTCAAAATTTTGATTTTTTTTTTTTTGCTTTTGAAAATTTTTCATAAAATCTAACCTAAAATCATTTCCTTATAAAATTTAAATGCATAAATATTACTATAATAATAATAATATATATATAATAATAGTAATGAAAAAAAAAGTCACGAATAAAAAGACAGGTGTATTGTTCCAATTTGTTCGAATTTTCATTTGCATTGCTTCTATTTTTCTGGTAACCTAGTATATCATAAGGAGATAGAAGGTAGAGAAAGGCACGCAGGAAGAAGTCGAACGAGCTCCTTCATGCTCTACCATCTGTTTTCATCTAAAAGTATAAGAAGAAGAGTTCAAACTCACAGTAAAAGTAAGATCTATATTCATTTGCAGCAGATTGCTGACAGATATGCGTCCAAATCGTGACGTAAACCATATTATCTATAATATATAACATAAAACTACATTCTAAAAATTTGATATGATGTGGAACTACAAATTTAATCTTTTCTTTTGGGTTTGTATAAGAAATTTCACTTACCATTCCATTTTATTTTTAATATTTATTGTTAATCTAATAGTTGATATCTCTTTTCAAATTGATATTATTCATAATTCATCTAATTAATCATGCAGCACAATGAATAAAAAGATATATTTGAATAGAAAGTTACGAATTATTTTGAAAATTTATGAATAAAATCAGCTAATTATCTAAAAGGAGAAAGAGAGAAGGAACAAGAAGTTAAACATAAACACACGACATTTGACCGGAACACGAGTTTGGGTACGAACTGGCCGAAGCAGGAACACAAGGTCTCTATAAATGCGTGCGTGCGTGCGTTCATGATTTCCAGTCGGTGGGAGGTCAGCCTTTCGGCAAGAACGATATTCGTTGCGTATATGTGACGTTCTCTATCCCTCTATTTATTCTCTTTCTTTCGCTCATTTTTCTTTCTCTATCTTTTTTTTTGTTCTTAAACTTGTGCAGTGTACTTTAATAACATTACGTCCTTTATGCTCACGTGTATTCACATATGCGTTTATTCAAGAAAAGTATTGTGTGATAATGTTAATCTCATAGAAATAAAAACATTGAAACGGAATATTATATAAAATGAAAAAAAAATTTAAATTAATGCAGTGATAATCAATCATAAACATCTATATCACAAAATTAATAAAAATCAAGTGTTAAAAATTTATAAAATAATAATTATTGTTTTAAAACAAATTCTTTCGAATATTCTTCATAGATATTCGAACAAAAAAAATGTCATAAAACAAAATTCAGAAGAATTTTTCGCTCTGTAAATTTTAATTAGAACATTATAAAGAGTGCATGAGAAAGCATATGAAACTTTCTTGATTCTTCATACAATAATAACTGGCTAATTATTTAAAAAGCATTGTCTTATAGTTTTCACATTCCAACGATCGTAAACGAAAGCGTGACATGTTCATCATCTTAATTAGACGCTGGAAAAATATGCGCGAAATGCGCACTTGATAAAATGATTAGTAATATGATTAGTAAAGCGATTAGAATTCAAATAAATAGTGTTAAATACAATCATTAACATATTGTTAACATTCGAATATTGAAATTGATGCTTGGTAATCACATGCTTAGACGAAACATCTGCGTACCAAGAAAATTCGAGCGAACATCTATCACTGACATTTCACCAGGAGAAACAAGAGAGTGCAAATACGCGCGCTCGTGAGTCAGACTCACCGACAAGTGTACTTCCACTTTTATAAACAGCTCCAGGGATTCGATTGGAATATCGAACTGCGTAATTCGAACCGCGACAAACATCAAGTAATCCTTTGTTTTATTATTACTGTTGACCTCGCATCGATAACGTTGAACCGATATCCGGTGCACTCTGACGTTCCGGTAAAACATAATGTCCTGTATATGATTTTATTTTAAAATGAAAAAGAGAAGAGAAATTTGATTGAAATGATATGTAATAAATTATTTATATGTATAGTAGATTATTAAAAAAAAAAAAATTTTGTGGTAGTATTTATCAGAGTATTACATTATACACATAATCTCTGCTACGATACATAATAAATATTACTATTAATGTTAAAAATAAAAAAAAATACAACAATCGTGCTGTGATTATAAATATATTCAAAAAGATAATCGTATAAATACAATATAATAAAAAGTTTTAAAAATTCTATTGAATTCAAAATGTGGAACATAATAAGAGAATTATTGGAACAATTTCTTTTACCGGGATTATTCTTAGGTATTTTATATTGTTTTCTTACTTCTACATTTGATTTTTGGAAGAATCGCGGTGTACCCTTTCGAAAACCCACTGTATTATTCGGAAATTTTGCTCCTATGTTATTATTCCGGAAATCCTTACCAGAAGGTATAAAAGAAATGTACGAATGGTTCAAAGATGAAAGATATTTTGGAGCGTTCCGTGTTAGATCACCTGTACTGATCCTACGGGATCCAGATCTCGTGAAGAACATTTGCATAAAAAATTTTACTTGTTTCTCGAATCGTGGCATACCAGTGAACTCCCAGGTAAAAGAAAAATATTTTGCTTCATAAATGAATTTTTTTGAGAATTAGTTTCAAACATCGCTGATTTTACATATTAAATATTTAAACCATAATTTTTTTATTTTATGTTATTTTTATTTTGTAAATTACTTTTGATATTAAATTTTTTTTTTAATTAAAAATTTTATTGTTTAGAAAAAAAATTTCTCTAAAAATTTGTTAAAAAATACATAATGCGTAATATTAAAGTAAAGCTAATTAAATAATATGTTTTCTTTTTACTAGGATCCATTATCTGCCCATCTGTTTAACTTAGAAGGGAAAAAATGGAAAAGTTTGAGATCGAAATTGACTCCAGCCTTTTCATCCGGCAAATTAAAAAGGATGTTCTATCTGCTAGCAGAATGCGGCGAAGAATTTCAAAAATTAATTGATATATCTTCCGAAACCGATCGGCCATATGAGATTCGTGAATTGGCCGCAAAATTTACAATAGATGTTATTGGTACTTGTGCCTTTGGCATACAAATAAATGCACTTACTGATGAGGAATCTGAATTTCATAGAGCTGCTAAAAAACTTTCGAAACCGAGTTACAAAGCTACCCTTTGGAGAATGCTCAGAACTGCCATGCCAAGATTATACAAATTTTTAGGGGTTCAGGTGATAGATCCTGGAGTGACCAAGTTTTTTAAAGACGTTGTATCGCAGATGATTAAACAACGTGAATATGGTATTAAAAGGCATGATTTTATGGATTTATTAATTGAATTAAAAAATAAAGGTACTTTAGATGAGATTGGAAGTGGACTAGTTTGCAATGATGAAGATGCAGAAACAGCAGATGAAATAGGTATGTTAATTTTTAAACATGTATGCAGATAAATGATAATAGTTGAAATTGAAGAGGAAAAACACGAAAATATTTACGAAAGCGTTGAAACTGGATAAATTCAGTGTATCACTATGCCTGTATCATTTATATAGATTACTTTATACGAAGATAAATTGTATATTTTACAAGAGAAATCGTTCGTTTTAACATGTGGCCTGATATATACTTGATAGTGTTGTTTCATCATACAAATTTTTTTTCGAAAAAACAATGCCAAATAAATTCTAATTTCTATAAATGAATTTAGCATTAGAAAAATATTAATTAAAATATATCGAATAGATTAAGATTTTTTATTTTCAAATATTAAATATAATAACGAATTGAAAAAGAAAAAAGAAATTGATGTGAAAATAATTTTCACATAATTCAATATAAGATCAAAATTATTAAAAAAAAATAGAAATGTAAATAAATATTTGAAATATAAAAATTTATAAATTTAATTCTCATACTATATCACTTTTTTAAAATATTACATATACATATAACATTAAAATAGAATAAACAATAATTGCAAAATTTAGAGCATGTGAAAATTATTATTGGAGATATACTAGTTTAATTTTTATACTGATTCGCACTATTTCCTAATAATTTAATTGTATCAATGAAAGAAAAAAGTTACATAATAATTGATAAGTCTCTTCGCTCAATATAAGCTGTTCATTGCACGCTTCAAACAGTTGTAATGATTAACTACAAACGATGCAATTCCCTAACAAATTAATCAAGATAAAATTGACAATAAGTGCTTTATCTATATGTATATTTGTCACAAGATTCACATAATAACAATAAAATTATTAAATTAATGAATGTTTCATTTATAAAAGAGAAACATTATCAATTCATAATTGAAACCTACATTTAATATTACTTAATTGCGAGATTTCAATTTATTATTTTTAAGAAAAATGGGACAGTTTATTAAATATATCATATAAATATATATTTAATTTAAATAATCAATATCATATTTTTATCATACATTTCAATAAATAAAATATACTTATATGATTCTTTATAATAATCTGATTCATAACTAATAATAAAAAATTAATAATCACTCCATTTTCTTCTTAAAAACATACGTATATATTGAGAATTTATCGCATTTAATCACTAAATGAATATATTCTATAAAGAAATTTTTTGTTCATGAACTTTATCATATAAGGCGCTGTTATTTATAGAATTGGACGAGAACAGCATTGCAGCGCAAGCGTTTGTGTTTTTCGCCGCCGGCTATGAAACATCATCAAACACTATTGCATTCTGTCTTCATGAGTTAGCGTTGAATACTGAAATTCAGGAAAAAACGAGACGCGATATACAAGATGCCATCAACAGCAGAAATGGCAAACTGACTTATGATGCTGTACAAGATATGAAGTATCTTGATATGGTCATTGCAGGTGAAAATCCATTTTCATCAATTTTCATATACTATAAATTATATATTTTGAAATATTTATCATGAAAAATTCTTACTAGCTATTTTCTTATATCTATTATATATATTATACATTTTTCATTATACAGTTATGATTTTTTTGAATTGTTTGTTGCTCTATAAATTTCGTAATAAATATAGTGATTTATACTCGTAGTTTAAAAATATCACTGAGATTAAAAAATAATCTTTTATTGAAATAGCTAACAATTTTTTAATTAAAAATTATACTAATAAAAATTATTTAAAATAAAAATAAACTATAGAATATATAAAAAAAATATATTTTATATCATTGATATTTAAGTACATTATATATATATATATATATATAATTTAAACTATTTTATTAAATATTTTCTTTAAATCTAATTACGTAAATTACGTATCATTTTTATTTCATCTTAATTTTAAATTATACAAATATTAGATCACATTAGATTTAAATTATTAGAAATTTCATCATCTGAAATTATCATTTAAATCTTTATTTTTCTTCATTATTTTACATATTAAATAATATTATTGTGATATATTAAAATATTATTATTTAAAAATAATTTAATTTTTCAAATTCTTTTTAGAAACGCTTCGAAAATATCCTCCAGCTTCAATGCTATCTCGGAGATGCGAATATCAATACCAAATACCAAATAGTAAGGTTGAATTACCAGCAGGCATACGAGTAATTATACCAATTTATGGACTTCATCATGATCCAGATTATTATCCAAGTCCTGCAATATTTAATCCTGAAAGATTCACAGAAGAGAATAAACGAACCAGACATCCATATGCGTATCTTCCATTTGGTGAAGGACCACGAAATTGCATAGGTAATTATCAAGTATATTTTTCGAATGATTCGTATGAATTCGATTCATTTAGAAAATAAAATAAATTTTATTTTGTAAATTTTTAAAATATAAATAATAATATAGAATTACTTATAAAAATATCTACTAAAATATATTTCTTCTAAATTTTATTTCTGCTTTTAAACATTATAACATAAATTATTGACAATTATGCATTCAATTGCAATTGAAATCGCTTATGTATATGTACACATTATTCTCAATTAACTTTTTATTGTCATGCAATATGATATTATAATATGATCTTAAAATATAAATATATTTGTAAATTTTTTAATCATAACATTTATTAATCCGATATTAATCCGATAAATCATAATTTTTTTACAATTTTTACAATCATTAGTTAATATCAAATGACATTCCAGAGATTAAATTGTTATTAACTATATTTAATAGCACCGTTTTTGTTCCAGGAATGCGATTTGCATTATTACAAATCAAAGTGGGAATAATCTCGTTTCTTAGAAACCATAGAGTGGAAACATGTCAGAAAACAATTACACCGATAAAATTTAGTAGACGAAGTCTCGTAACAACTAGCGAGAAAGGATTTTGGCTTAGAATTAAATAATATTTTTAAATTTAAAAAATTTAAAAAAAAAATTATATAAATATAATATTTATTATGTACTTAAAATACCTCAAAAAATGATCAATATTAATAATTTTTCTGTTAGTATTCTTAATATTAGTGAGGCCAGTAAAAAATTTTAATTTTGATATTTATATTTTATTACTTTTTTTTTACTTTTATACATTATTGAAATAATTAAATACATTATAAATAC